TGTCCTTTTCTTTTTATCTCTTTGAGGTACATACATAGTAGGGTCAAAGGGTATGTCCTTTGGGCACAGTTCCAAATTGTTCTCCAGAATGGTTGGACCAGTTCACAACTCTACCAAGAATTTTTTAGTGTGCCTATTTTCCCTTGTCCCTTCCAGCATTTGTCTTTTCTAAAAGGTATGAGGTGGTACCTCAGAGTTGTTTTAATTTGCATTTCTCTAATTGGTAGTGATTTAGAGCATTTTGCATATAATGTAGATAGCTTTGATTTCTTCTTTTAAAACTACCTATTCATACCCTTTGACCTTTTATCAATTGGAGAATGACTCTTATTTTTATAAATTTGACTCAGTTCCCTATATATCTGAGAAGTGAAGGCTTTATCAGAGGAACTTGATGTACAATTTTTTATATTACTTTATTGTCTATCATACCTTTTAGCAAAATATAGTCTCCCTGATTACCTCTTTTAATTAGATCTATTTTTGCTTTCTGAGTTAATGATTGATACCTCTGCTTTTTTTTTTACTTCAGCTGAAGCAGAATGGATTCTGCTCCATCCCTTTATTTTAACTCTGTGTGTGTCTTTCTGTTCCAAGTGTGCCACTTGTAAACAATATATCATTAGATTCTGGTTTCTAATTCATTCTGCTATCCACTTCCATTTTATGGGTTAGCTCATCCTATTCATATTCATAGTTGTGATTATCAACTGTGTGTTTCCGTTCATTCTAGTTTCTTCCGTTTATCCTTCTCTCTCTCTCTTTTTTAACCCTGTCCTTCCTCAAAAGTCTATTTTGCTTCTGACTACTGACTCCCTAAATCTGAAATCCCTTTTGTCATCTCTCCCTCCACCCCCAACATATCTCTTATCCCTTTACCCTCCTGTATCTGTATTGGATAAGATAGATTTCTACACCCAACTGAATGTGTATTTGTAGTCTTCCCTTTATGAACCAATTCCAATAAGGTTCAAGCATTACCTGCCACCACCACCCCCTATTTTCCCTTTCACTATAAAAGCACTTCCTTGTATACCTCTTTTATATAAAAAATTCCCCATCAACAAAAATCTGCCTCTCCCTTCTCCTTTCTTTCAGTGCATCCCTCTTTCTTGCTCCTTCATTTTTTTTGAGATCATCCCACCGTAGTCAACTCATGATCTTGACCTTTGTCCATGTAGACTCCTTCTAATTGCCCTAATAATGATAAAGTTCTTAGGAGTTGCATGTATCATCTTCTCATATAGGAATGTAAACAGTTTAATTTTATTGAGTCTCTTATGATTACTCTTTTATGTTTACTTTTTTAATGTTTCTCTTGAATCTTATGTTTGGATGTCAAATTTTCTATTCAGTTCTGCTCTTTTCATCAGGAATGCTTGAAAGTCATCTATTTCATTAAATATACATTTTTCCCCGTGGAGGATCATACTCAGTTTTGCTGGGTAGGTAATTCTTGGTTGTAATCTGAGCTCCTGTGCTTTTGGAATATTGTATCCCAAACCCTCTGTTTCTTCAGAGTAGAAACTGCTAAATCTTGTATGATTCTGACTGTGGCTCCACAGTTGTTTTTCTGATGAGATATTTCACATTTTCTTGTATTCTTTAATTCTTTTAACTTTTTTTATTGTTGTTTCTTGATGTCTTACAGAGTCATTAGCTTCCATTTGATTAGAATTTTTAAGGAATTATTTTTTTCAGTGAGCTTTTGTGTTTCTTTTTCCATTTGGCCAATTCTGCTTTTTAATGAGTTGTTTTCCTCAGTGATTATTTGTGTCTCTTTTACCATTTGATCTATTCTGCTTTTAAAAGAGTTCATTTCTTCAGTATTTTTGGTGCTTCTTTTACCAAGATGTTAATTTTCTTTTCATAATTTTCTCATGTCACTTTTAATTCTTTTCCCAATTTTTCCTCTACCACTCTTACTTTAACTTTTCCAGGAATTCTTGTTGTGCTTGGTCCAGTTAGCATTTTTGCCCTTGAGGCTTTGCTTATAGCTGTTTTCACATTGTTGTCTTCTTCTAGGTTTATGTCTTCCCTGGCACTCTAGTAGCTTTTTAATGGTTAAGTTCTTTTTTGTGTGTGTTTTTCTGCTTACTCATTTTTTCCGTCTTTTTCTTGACTTTAAACTTTATGTTAAATTTGTACTCTGTCCGTCTGTGGGTGTGGAACTCTGTCCCAAGCTTCAGGCTTTTTCATGTTGCTGTTTTCAGAGCTAGTTCTGGGGGGTCCACAAGTTTTCAATGCTTCCAAAGTGGTATGATTTGAGGAGAGGTGTAGTCACTCTTTTCTGGTCAGTACTCTGGTTTTACCCAGGAAGGGGCCCTGCTTCCCTGCACCTGCAAGCTCTAGCATTTCTCTTGGCCCTGGAACTGTGACCAGGTTTTTTGCTCTCCTCCAGCTACAAGGGCTAATGTTGGAACTGAGGCCAGGGTCCCTTCCCTCTTCTGACCAACCACAAGCACTCCTTTTCACTCTGGAACTGTAACCCACAACTGTATTGGCAATAGAGTTGCCAATCAGCATCAGCTGCACCTGGTGCTAGCAAAGGGATCCCTGTAATCTCTTTCTGAACAGTTGTCTGACCCCTTACAGTCTCTGGACTGAGACATCCAAAATTGCTGTTGCTGGTGTTGCCACTGCTCGGTCCTGTCAATGCTGCTGATGGACTCTGGGCCAAGCTCCATGCAGGTGTCGCAGACATCTCCCATTGATCTCCTAAGTTGTATTAGGCCAGACAAATGTCTCATTCTGACCTTTTGTTGACTCTGTCACTCCAAAATTTTATTTGAGTAGTTAAAGTTGCTTGGAGGGGAGTACTGTGAAAGTTCAGCTGCGTTGCTGCCTGTACCGCACCAGCTTGGCTCTACCTCTCAAAGATAAATGTTCTTGGAAATATTCTTACTGTAAATGGTTAGAGGTATGTGATATTTATAGATTTGTCACCCTGGGGTAGGCTAGAGTGATGATGACCTTTGGTGGAAATGGGTGACTCAGACTCCTTGGAACAAATGCTGCTACCCTGGGGCAAATATTGTCTGTTTCCAGGGGTTTACACTGAATTTTAGGAGAAACACTGAAGTATTCATGGCTTTTTTTTTAATGTATGCTATATATCTGTACTTAAATGCTCCACCCATTTTGCTTGTATAGAATAACTCCAGCATTTTTACGTTGAACAGAAAAGCCATATTTCTTAATACTGGCAGCTTTTTTTTTAAAGGAAAATATTGAGCTATGTATGCATCATTTGAATTGTATGCTGTTTTAAAACAAAAACTCCATTTGACCTTAGAAAACCTAAATCCTTTTTCTTTCTAACATAAGCTCTGGCCTAGTCCATTATATATTGTAGTCTAGTGGCAAGAGACAAATTCTATGAGTTCATTGCAGGAACTTGTCCTACCTTAGGAAAATTACCTTAACATTTCTCTGTCTTGAGTTTTCTGTCTCTGAAAAGGAAATTAACCCCAATATTTATCTACCTGAGAGTGAATAAATTGTGTAATACCACTTTTATGAAGAATCTACTATGTTCAGGGAACAGCATTAAACAGTAAATACAAATATAAAAATATAAATACAAAATACAAAGTGAATACAAAGTAATTTCAGGATAGGAGGTCCCTACCCAGGGCACTAGCAACTGAGTGATCTGAAAAGGCCTTGTTGCAGGATGTGACCCTTGTGCTAACCCTTAAAGTGATGTAGAGTTTCAAGAGATATATATGAGGATGGAGTGAATTCTAGACATGGGAGAATTCACTTTGCAAAGCGTAAGGGTAGGAAATGGTAGGTTAAGTACTGAGGGTTAGCAAGTATGGTACTTTGGTTAGAAGTATGGTAATTTGGTTAAATTACATGGAGAGGAACAATGTGAAATTAAGTCAAGGATTGTAAGATGTCTACCAGACCACAATAGGCTTTAAATTTCAGGCAGAAGAGTTTTGTATTTTAACTTAATATAAAGACAAGAATTTCATTAATCATTTAGATTTACATAGTGCTTTAAGGTTTACAAAGTATTTGCCTCCCAGCAACACTATGAGATAGTTATCACAAATTGTTTGACTCCCATTTTGCAGATAAGGTAACTGAAAGACAAGGTTACCTGGAAGAGTTTAAGTGACTCACCCAGGATTACATGCCTAAGTGTTAGTTCTGAGATTCAAACTTATGTCCTTACATTAAGCCTAGGGTCTTTGTCCCTTTGTCACATGGGCCTCAAGGAGCAGCCACAACTTCCAAAGGTACCTGACACAAGTGAATTATGGCATAAAAATGGGGTAACACAGTAAATAAGTAACCGTCATCCCTCACAAAACACCCTCTTTTTACTTCGCACTATATATTCTCTATCAGCAGCAGTGGACCTGACTGGTTAGGTGAATATCAAGACCATCCCTAAAGCCAGTCCTCTCAGGACAGTGCTTACACAAATAGCCCCATTTGAAGATCAAATGTTTTTAAACCTTTTTAACCTCTAATCTATACAGTCACTTAGGTCAAGTACTACAAAATCTTTATTTTCATCACCAAAGCATTACAAAATGTTAGATCTATTCCAGTTCAATCCAACAAACATTTATTAAGCTCCTACTGCATGCAAGGCACTGGGTTAGGCTCTGTGAGTTTAAAACCAAAATTTTAAATAGTCCCTACCAACAAGAAGAATTCTGCTACTCTTTCATTCTGATGTTTTTAATTACACAGAAGAGGCCACATAGGTTCAAGTTCAAGAGCAATGGATAGCAGACAGCTTGAATAATGTCAGTGGTATCTTTTGCTGGTGGTGTTCAGTCGTTTCAGTCATGTCTGACTCTTTGTGATCCCATTTGGGGTTTTCTTGGCAAAGATACTGGAGTGGTTTGCCATTTCCTTCTCCAGCTCATTTTATAGATGAAGAAACTGAGTCAAAACAGAGTTAAGTGACTTGCCCAGGGTCTCATGGCTAGTAAATGTCAGAGGTAGAAATTGAACTCAGATGTTCCTAACTCCAGGTTCAAAGCTCTGTCTGTCCACTGTGCCACCAAGCTCTGGGAATGACATTTAACACATTAACACACACACACACACACACACACACACAGAGAAAGAGAGAGAGAGAGGGAGAGAGAGAGAGAGAGAGAGAGAGAGAGAGAGAGAGAGAGAGAGAGAGAGAGAGAGAGACAGAGAGAGAGAGACAGAGAGAGAGAGACAGAGAGAGAGAGACAGAGAGAGAGCATGCTTATTATTCCCATTTTACAGATAAGGAAACTCAGGCAGAGAGAAGTTAAATGATTTGCCCAGAGTCACAGAACTAAGTATCTGAGGCAGTTTTGAGCTTATGTCTTACCCACGTTTATCTCTCTATCCACTGGTTCACCTAGCTGTCCTATTGACTGCATCAGTGAAGAGAGAACCCAGACCAACCTGATCACAGAGCTTCGATTTTTTTTTGTTTATTTGTTTGTTTGTTTTCCTTTTTTGGTTCAGATTTTTTTTTGTTTCACTAGTGTAGGAAACTTGAGAGTGAAGAAATTCTCATCCAGTGAATGAATGGATGTATGAAGTAAGGAATGAAGAAAATATTCATCAAGCTTTCAGTATTATGTCGGGCACTGTGCTAAATGCTAGTGATAACAAAAGCAAGAAAGTGCTTTCCTTTAAAAAGCTTATATTCTAATGGAGAAACAACACTTAAAGAGAAAGGTGGCCAGGCAATTGGTTTGAGGTTTATATCTTAAAGATTACCTAAAGGGCAGCTAGGTGGCACAGTGGATAGAGTACCAGCCCTGGAGTCAGGAGGCCCTGGAGTCAGGAGGCCCTGAGTTCAAATTCGGCCTCAGACACATAACACTCACTAGCTGTGTGGCAAGTCACTTCACCCCAATTGCCTAGCAAATTGAAAAAAAAAAGATTGCCTGGAACACAAATACATTGATGTGCTAATGTGAGACAGGACCTCCAAGCATACGTGTTATTTCCTCCTATTAACCTTACTCTAAAGCTGGACACTGTTGCTACCTCCCATTCTCCTCTTTTCCTCCTCATTAATTAAATGAGCATTTAATTAAGTTGCTGGCTTGAACTTGGCTACCTGTAAAGATACAGCTTAATGTGTTAGCAAGTTGTCCTTCAGTCATTTTTCAGTCGTGTCCAACTCTCCATGACCCATTTGGAGTTTTCTTGGCAGAGACACTGGAGTGGCTTGCCATTTCCTTCTCCAGCTTATTTTACAGATAAGGAAACTGAGACAAACAGGATTAGGTGACTTGCCCAGAGTCACACAGCTAATAAGTATCTGAGGCTGGATTTGAACTCAGGAAGATGAGTCTTCTGGATTCCAGAGCTGATGCTTTATCTACTACACCACCTAGTACAAGCCAGTGCACTAAATGATCCACTACCTATTCTCAAAATATTCAAGTTTGCTCCCTTCATGACTAACACACCACCATGGCTATTCATTTGAATCTTGTAGTCCCTTTGGTATTTATCCAGTGGGAGTTCTGCACCTCCCAAAACGTAGAGAACAGTTTTAAGTCACTAAATTAAATCTCCTGCCTCTGCCATTTCAATGTGTTAAATACTTCCATAACACAGCATAAGAAATAATTGACAGTGTTCAAAGGAAAGTTTTTCTTTCAACTAGGAAGTAGTTTAGGCACTAGGAGAATCTGAGTCATTGTGAATAAGGAACTGTGGATTTGAATGAAAGTTCAAATTTCATGTGTTTGAATGGGAAACTTATTTTTTTTTTCTACCCAGTTGTATGTAATAACCATCTGCCTTGAGAGTGGAATATATTTTGGCATGGCCTTTCCAGGCTCACTTGTCCTACCCAGCTAATAAAAAAAGTTACTTCTTTTTGGCTCTTAAAAGTAAATATCCCTTTAAAAATTCCTGCAACAGCTTTAAAATATACAAAGACAGTTAACAACTGTACCTGTGATTTCACTGATAGAAGGAATTATGTTAATGATGAAAACCTCTCCCCTAATGAAGAGGTCTAGGGGTTTTGGGGTGCTGGGACCCCAAGATCGCGGTACCGGGCCCTGTTGAATGAATTCAACTCAAATCTTCTTCAGCCAGAGGAAAAGTTTATTAGTGATAAATCACAGAGGCCAGGTGACGCCCATAAGGACAGGCGGGCATGAGAGGTTCTCAGCCGTGTGGGCCTGAGATTCTCAGCATCTGAATGAGGGCCAAGGTGGATCTTAAATACTAAAGTAAACTTTGGGTGGCCAGAGAAGGGGGTTGGGAAAAGGGTCTAGGTAAGAATTCTAATTGGGGAGGTCAGAGAGATTGAATAGACAATGGGAATAGATAATGGAGGGAACTGGAAGGCAGAAGTTTGAAAGGCATCTGCACAAAATCAAGGTGGGGCTAGGACTTTCAAAAGGAGATAAAGGAAGTCGATAAGGAACAGTTTGAGACCAGAGAAGGCCTTTCTGTAGCCTGTAGACAAAAGGGAGCCTAAGGCTTTCAAAGGGAGATGAGGGTCTGGGGCCTGTGAGTCAGATTCCCTTTTGGGGCAAAGGGCGAAGATCTTGGCTTGGGCCACGCCCCCATCACTAATACGGTTTGACACCTCTGCAGTTTAGAGTTGAGTAGGGAGAGCACTAAGAGACCCAGTGACTTGCTCAGGAACACCCAACCAGTCTGGGTCAGAGGCAGGGGTGGAGCCCAGCTCTTCCTGAGGCCAACTTGTTATCTACTGTGCCATGTGGCCCCTCATGTGTGTGTCTGTGTACAGATAGACTTAAATTATACAAGCAAATTAAGTTTCGCTGACAAAATGCAAATCAATAAATAATCAGAAGGATGTATTCTAGAAATTTTCTTGACTATCAAAATTCTTGGGCAGTTAGGTGGCACAGTAGATAGAATGCTGGGCCAGAAGTCAGGAAGACTAATCTTCCTGAGTTCAAATCTCCCTTCAGACATTCACTAGCTGTGTGACATTGGGCAAGTCACTTAACCCTGTTTGCCTCTTCTGTAAAATGAGCTGGAGAAGAAAATGGCAAACCACTCCAGTATCTCTGCCAAGAAAACCCCAAATGGGCTAAAGTACCACTTCATACACAAGATCTGATTAAATATAGTCTAGTCATTTTCTGTTACTGAGCCATCTACTTGGAGCCAGGGGTAGAGATCATGGATTTTGGGGAGAAAAAAAGAAAAAGACAGAAGAATTGCCCTTGGGAAATAGAATTCTTGAACTCTGGGGAAAAAAAGTCCTGTCCTTCATTCTCAGATTCTCATTGCACCTGGTAGCTCCCTATTAAAATTCAAATGTTTGTTATATGGCAAGGATAGCCTTTTAAGTGTTTAGTATTAGCTAGTCAGGAAATGAGGCTGAGTTACAAACTTAAGCAATTTTTATCTTATTTAACATAAAAAAGAACGACCCTTTGAAAATGTAAATTGCATGAATTACATTTATATCGACTCTCTCAGCATGGTGTTTAACCAGCTTGAAACATTTGAAAGCCATAACTCCTGACAGGAAAGCAAAGATCACCTTTTTAAAGTCTCTGAACTATGGAATCCACAAAGAATTTAAGTAGGAGTAGGATTAAACTGTCCGTATAAATAGGAGGGGTGACATCCCTGTTATTGTTTTTTCAAGTCTTTTTTAATGGACTGCTAAAATGAGTTCTGTGATTTCTTATCTTGAAGTGTCAAAGGCTGAGATATTAAATACTAATTGAGGAAATGACCCACTAAATTCCCTCCCCTTCCACCTCTCTTTGTTACTATCTCTTCCTCCCCCTCCCATTCCCTCTCCCCCTGCCCAGTCACTCTCCTCATTTGCAGATGAGGAAACTAAGGGGCCCAAGACAGATGAAGTAAAGATGCATATTTCTTTTGCCCAAAAACAACATTGAGTAGGGCAGCTAAGTGGTTCAGTAGATAGAGTGCTGGCCCTGGAGTCAGGAAGACCTGAGTTCAAATCCAACCTTAGACACTTACTAGCTATGTGACCCTGGGCAAATCGCTTAATCCTGTTTGCCCGTTTCCAATGGCAAGCCGTATCAGTAACTTTGCCAAGAAAAGTCCAAATGGGCTCATGAAGAGTAAGACACAACTGAAAAACAACTGAATTTGGGAATATTTAGTATACATTTGTCAAATTTAATTTGTTGCCAGTGTCACACAAAAAGTGTCTGAATCAAGATTCAAAGTTAGGTTCTTTTATTATATCTCTTTCTTATTATATGTCTCTTTCTTCTCCATTTCTTAACACTCTTAGATTTGGCCTCAAAAATCTCAGAGGGCTAGTCAAGATTTAACCTGGAAAATATTCTATTCTCGATGAATTAGATATTCCATCTGTGTCTTCATATTTATTCTCTTTCATACATAACCCTACATTTCCTATATCCATACCTTTGTATTGCTAGATCCCCTTGTTTTCCCTCCTTACCTCTGCCTCTTAGAATTACTGATTTCTTCAAGACACAGTACAACCTAGCTACCTTTTATAAGAAGCCTTTCCTAATCCCCCCTCTGTTAGTGTTTCACCCTCAAAAGTCAATTTGTATCTCTTTATATACACATACACAGAGAGAGACATACATACAAGGGATAGATAATGCATACATATCTGTATGTATGTATGTTTGTATTATGAAGTCTCTCCTATGGAATGTAAACTCTTGAAGCCAGGGACTGCTTAGTGCCTGGAATGTAATGGAAAATTGATAAATGTTGTTGATTGATTGGTTGATAAGTTTGTGGTATAATTTGAAAACCTTCAATTGAATAAATATGGGAGGGACAGAGAAAGAGTGAATGACTCCAAGCTTTTGAATCTAGCTGCCTGGGAGGATGTTGAAGTCCTCAGTGAAAATAGAGAAGCTTGAAGGAGAGACAGGCTTAGGGGAGAAGATAATGAGTTTCATTTGGGCATACTGAAGGTGATATTGCCATAAGGCACAACATGCAACAGGCAGCTGATGATGTAGCATTGGAATTAGGAGAAAGATTAGGGCTGGATAATTTACATACTGGAATTATCTTATACAGATAATATTTGAAGGCATGAAAGTAGATAAAAAACTACAGGAGAGAGCGTAGGGAGAGAGAAGTTCTAAGACAGGTCTTGAACACCCAAGTCAAAGGTCCAAGAGATTCATTATGACCTAGCAAAAAGAACAAAACAAATAGTCTGACAGGTAGGAAAAGAAGCAGGAGAGAGATATATCGCAGAAGCCAAAAGAAGAGAAAAAATCCAGAAGGAGGGATTCAATAATATCACAAGATGCAGAGAAGTCAAGGAGGATGAGGATGAAGAAAAGGTCATTGGAGCCATTGTGCCACTGGGATTCCTGAAATCATCCTTAACTTGTAATGAATTTTATTGTACGCTGTTATGCAAAATGTTCTGAAACTCCTTTCCAAACAGCATTTCACATTGTAATTTCTGATCACAGGCAGAAATATGAACTCTGGGTAAGTTGTCTTCAGAACCTTTTGCCAGAGAAGATAATTTGTAGCCAAATAATAAAATCTGTATCTAACAATTTTTAAAAAAAATTCTGAATCACAAATCATCTACTAGCTAATGATACTTTATAAAGCAGCTCCCCCCCAAAAAAAACTGTCCATAGATGTCAGTAAAAATCCAATTTTTTGACCTTTTTTTTTTTGGTGGTAGAGTGGGGAGGATTTGAATTCCTGTTGTTCTATCAGCCCATTGGAAGAGTGATGGAATAGTGTGCCTATGACCTCTACTGCATGGGTTAAAAGTCCATCCCCCCATTGCTGGACAGTGGTCTTCAGCTCTAATAGTAATTAGTACAGCCCTGGAGTGCCTCAGTTTTATAATATATCAGTAGTTAGGTAAGCTTACTAACCTAACATTGCCTGCAGATTCCATATCCCCATGCAGGCTTTAAGAGGTATTCTCTTGTTGCCACATTATGGTTGAAAGAGTGTGGTTGCTACAGCCTTCTGTGACTTGCCAACAAGTAGCATGTGAGAGCCAAGACTTGAATCTAGGTTTCCTAGTTCACGACATTTTCACTACCTGTTGCTACCAAATTGCAAGAATATAACTTCTTTTGTTAGGGAAAGTATTGATGTAGGTGGATTCTGAAGAATAAGAAACTTCTTGGACATGATCCTATTGTACAGTTAGGATGAGTTTTTGCAAGACATGACATGGTCAGCTCTCTACTACTGCAGACACATTTGGAACAGCGCACATGAATGACAGACCTTTAAGAGCTAAAAGGGACCTCAGAGATCATCTAGTCCAATCCCTTTTATTTTACTGATGAAGAAACTAAGAGACAGAGGTGTCAAATAACTTGCCCGGGGTCACCCAGCTAGCTAATGGTAGTAAACAAAGTAAACAATGGAGCTATCTAAGTAATAATGTGATGGAATTGATCATTCTTATAATAATATTAATAGCTACTATTTATACAGTAATGATTATATTCTAGCAATATTTGTTGTTTCAGTCCTTTTCAATCCTGTCTGACTCTTTGTGACCCCATTTGGGATTTTTTTGACAAGAGTGGTTTGTCTTTTCCTTCTCCAGCTCATTTTACAGATGAGGAAACTGAGGCAGATAGAGTCAAGTGGCTTGCCTAGGATTACACAATTAGTAAGTGTCTGAGGCTGAATTTGAACTCAGGTCCTCCTGACTCTAGGCCCAGCACTCTATCCATTGTGCTTATTCTTTCCTCTATGCTTATTATTGTTGTGTATTATAACACATTCTATTTAACTAATGGCTCTTTGTAAATTTCATGATCATTTTTATAACTCATACTTAGCATTGACTGCTTCTGCCTTTTTACATTTATTTGAAACATTTCTGTGTCCTAATATATGTTCAACTTTTGTAAAAGTTCTGTGTGGTGCTAATATATATGTATATTCTTTGGCAGTCTCAGAAGACACTCCAAGTCTCTTAACTTTAGTTTCTCCAGCAATGCGTTCAATTCCTTATTTCCCTTTTGTTTATCTTTATTTTAGATGCATCCAAAACTGAGAAAGGGACAATAAAAATCCCTTGCCATTGTTTCATTATAGTTTAGTCTTCTAGTCATTCAGTTACTTTTTATAAGTTTAGATGCTAGGAAATTTGGAGCAATAAATTTAATATTGATATTGGCTTATGTATGGTTCCTTTCAGCATAATATAATTTCTTCTTTATTTCTTTTTATATTGTGAATGCTTGTTTTCCCTCTGTCTAATATCATGATTGCAATTTCTGCTTTTTTTGGATTCACCTGGTGAATAGTATCTTTTCTTTTCCTAGGCCCTCATTTTATTCTGTGTATGTCTTTGTATTTTAGGTATGCTTTTATAAGCAATGAATAATGGAATGTTTTTTTTATTTTTTAATCCAATCTATTACTCTTTAATTTTATTGGATTGTTTAATCCATTCACATTTAGTAGTTATGAGAGTTGGATTTATACAGGATGTCACAAAAGTCTTAGTGCAACTTACTGCACTAAGACTTTTGTGACACCCTGGATTTTTTCCATTTGTTTTTAATATTGTCCGTCCCCCCCCGCCGAATTCCAATTTTTCCTTCTTCCTTTGTAAAGACAGCATTATATTTTACTTTAATTGCTAAGAAAAAAATTATACAAGATCTGAGGATTCAACCAGTCCATCATTATGAAAAAGACACCTCAGTGAATTTGCAATCTCACCAATGTTGATATGCTCTCCCATAATACAGATTACAGACTAACTATAACTTCTCATTCTGTAGTACTCTTTTCCATGATCTCCCATGAATCTTCTATAGAAAGAACCATCCAATCACTGGGGCTTTCTTTTAGCTCTTTGGGCACTACTTAACTGACCTACCTCTTTTTTTTCTCCTGCCATTTGGTGCCCTTAACACTGCCTTTTGCACCTTCTTTTATGCAAGTCATCATTGGTATTATACTTTTACCTACTTCTGCCTATCATATATCTTTTCATTGCTTATTGGGTCACCTTCAGTGTTGATTCTTTGGAGATCAAGGTGTTTTATGATTTAAAACTATATAGTATCATCAGCAAATAACTGGTTTTAGAAAAGAAAAAAAAAGATGGGTTTATATAGGATATATAGGAGCAAGCAGCCTAGGATCATGGAAAATAATTGCCCATTGCAGTAGTAAGCCAGTCTCCTTTCCTGTTAAGTTTTGGAGTAGCTGCTGTACCTGTCCAAGATTTCTAAATTAATGAACCAACCCAATGGAGTGTCCATTGAAAGTGCATGCCCTCATTTCGTATTCTTATGGATTCTTAACCCATTTGCTTTTTCTTTTGTGGATGACAGAACATTTCTTTTAAGTGACTGGATCATATTGAAGAAGGATTGTAGTGTTCTAGAGCTCATATTATCTCCAAATAGAAGGCTATGGAACTATTTGTAGGTATTTTATTTATCCCTAGACAAGTAAGGTATGTTTCCTGCCCCCAAGGATCTGAAGAACAAAGACTATAAATGGATGTAGAGCGCGCGCGCGCGCGCGCACACACACACACACACACACACACACACACACACACACACACACAGAGCAACAACACTTTGGAGGAGACCGAAATTGATTTGGATCTCACTGAATGTTTAGACCATTAAGCAGATAGGAGAGAACATTCTAAGCAGAAAAGGTACAGAAGCACAGGTCCTGTGGCAAGAGTTTTAAGATGGCATGTGCAGAAAGCCAAATGAAGAGACTAGCTTGATCAGAACAGAAGGGTCTATTGGAGAGGGGTAAGAAATAAGGTTGGGTAGGTAGGGTGGATGAGATCATTTCATCCAGATGCTATGTTCTAAGTAATAGCATTTTTTTAAAATGTGCCCACAAGAGGTTTTTTTGCTTTAGTTTTTGTTTTTTTACCAGTAAAAGGAGTTCACTATTTATTTGCTTTACATTGTTCTTCTCTCTACCCCCAACTTCTTTTTTCTGGGGTGAGGGAGGACACAAATCAAGACCAAAAAGAAAAGGTTTAGCCATATTCTCTCACCAAGCTTTCTCTTGAATTTCTGAAAATTTGTAATTTGTTAATATACCTTTAGTGTCAGCAATGTAGCAAAGCATGTGATAGAGCAAAGAATGAGCCATTTATCCCTGGAGGAAAGTTTATAGGCTATTTTATATGAATTAAAAAGCAAAAATCCTAAAGGAAGAATTAGAGAAGTACAACCAAACAAAAGCATAGTATTTAATTGTTTCAAGCTCACCACCATCTGTCTTCAAGCTTCTTCTTCAAGGTCACCTAAAGAAGTTTAAATGAAAGTTGTAAGTCAAGGTGGGATCTGACACCAGGTTGAGGATTAGTTTGATGTAATAAGTAGCCTCAGTCCTTGGCAAGGTGCCTTGGTACGTTAGTTTTCCAAGTTGTTTGGGTGGGTCACAATTGCACTCCAACATCCTGTCTGCAAATGCTAAATAAATACCCAGTTGACGTCAGACTAAAGCACCACCATACTCACTAATTTCATTTCAGGAATCAAAACGTTTAACCTTGTTTCACTTGAACGTCCATACATTAAAATTTTAGGGTTGGCACTTCCTGGGGAACATATCCTTTCTAATTTCTTTGTTCCCTAGTTGAGAGGGTGGTCTGATGCCCTTGTCTTGTGGGACCTTTTTGGCCAGCCTGAGTCTGTTTCCAACCCTAATAAAAGTTATTCTTGTCACAAGGATAGAGGAGAAAAGCTTTCACAGGACAAAGGGGTTTCCTATGTATCTAGTCTGATTTTTTTACTGAGGGTTTCTTAAAATAAATGATAAAATGCAGAGTACCTTCTGAAAGGAAAGTACTTTGTATATCATAATCAAAAGAAAAGGAGATTTGAAAACACTGGCTTATAAGGGCTTATAGCCACTTGTCCAACATTAATTAATGCACTGGATTTTTTCATTTTAAACATTCCAACACTGCCTAATGCCTTAATGCCAAAAAAGATTCTCCTGAATCTTTATCCCATCTTTAAGAGGCTGTTCACACATCAACAAATGGCCAAAAATGGGCCGTTTCATTAAATCTTTTAAACTTGGAAACCTATCAAGCCGGTTCCAACTTAGTTTCTCAGGGAAAAAAAAATGGTCCAGGGTAGGAAATGGATGGCCAGTGCTTTAGGTCAATTAAAATAAATCAGACAAAAGGGAATGCTTATTATAAAGACTAAATCTTTTCCTAACCAGTATAAACAACTTCCCACCAGAGGAGGAAAGGACTTTTGTATTTTCAAAGGTCTGGGTAGCTACGTTGCCGGTTTATTGTTGTCCTCTCTGGCTGCTGCTGGTCTCAGCTTTCTATCATTTCAGCAATCGACAAGCTCTGGGTTTTCTCCCCTCCTCTCTCTCACTTCCAGGCAGTTTGAACTACCTTCCCACGGACGTCATAAAGCCCTTAAGGAATATTTTCTGCCTGGTGAGATTGAATGATAGTTCCCATTCACAAAGACTAGGAGGCAGGGTCTAAGCAGGGAGTAAAAAGGACACACTTTTTTTTTTTTGGCAGGTAAAGCAGCTGGCAAGCCTCAAGTGCCTACAGTTTTATTCCCCCTGCTGTTTTCTTTGCTCCTCGGGAGCGAACTAGTACTGAAGTGAAACTTCCCCAACAGCTCGCTGGCGTTACTTTACCTCCAGCCCTTTTATTCCGTCTTCCCGTACAAAGGTGCTTCTGCAGTGCTGGCAACCTTGAAACCTGTTATTATAGGCTTGCAGCTTGCAAAAAGAGAGAGGGAGAGGAATTGAGAGTGAGAGAGAAAGGAACAGGGAGAGGGAGAAAGATCAAGTGGTTCTTTCAGCTGTCTTGGCTCCCCTTGTGACCTAGATGAAGAATAGATTCAAAATTCAGTTCCTCCCCAGGCCATACAAGAGTGAAAAGAAACTCTGTCACTTGGGAGCAGCCTAGCGAGAGAGAGAGAGAGAGAGAGAGAGAGAGAGAGAGAGAGAGAGAGAGAGAGAGAGAGAGACAGAGAGAGAGACAGAGAGAGACAGAGAGAGAGACAGAGAGAGAGAGACAGAGAGAGACAGAGACAGAGAGAGACAGAGACAGAGAGAGACAGAGAGACAGAGAAATATGAGAATGAGAATGAATGTTGTTACAATGCTTTGGTTCTCTTCTTGATGAATCAACCTGGGAGCAGGAGCTGTGGGCTTCAGGACCCTTGGATTTCTTCAGCAAGCCCAGTCCTCGAAATGGAATGTGTAAAGCCTTCTTGGTAGCGAGACCCCCTGAAATTGATGACTCAAAATCTTTGGGGCATTTTTTTTCACGATGAGCATTATTATGAAGCCGAGATCCCGGTCTACTAGTTCCCTGAGGACTACAGAGGCAATTGGGTAATATGCTTTTCTCTCATACTTATTTCCTTCCTCTCCTTCCAAGATTGAGGTATTAACTGAGTGCTGAGTGATTATGGGAGATGCTCAAAAGAGTTAGATATAATTTTAACAGTCAGTACCATGAAATAAAACATAACAGGCTCCTTGACTCCTTCTGCTTGGTGCCCAGTTCTGTGTGCTCTATGCAAAGTGGTATTCACTCTTTGTTTTCAAGCTGCCCAGTGGACCTAGAGGAGCCCTGTGAAATGTGACAGCTGATCATATTTTAGATTTGAGAGCAGAAAGAACACGTGCAGATATATGTTGCCTGTGGGGAAAGTGAAGCTGATCATTTTCACTGTCTGTTTATGGTTATCTCTTCTCTCATCTTTATTCCTGCTGCCTAAGCAGCCTGGTTGTTGACAAGTCTTTGCCTTATTTTCTTCTTCCAAGACATTTATCCTGACAAATTTTGAAAGTGATATTTTGTTAGTACAGGTTATTCAGGTAACAAAATTAAAGAATGATTCTAATGGTTAATCAAATGTATGGTGATGAAACAATGTGCAATTATGCTTTAGTCAAACTTTTTGTATTATTTGCATGTCTAACCCATATTTTAATAAATTTTTTAAAAATCTATTATTTGCAGTTATTATAGAAGGTTTTAGGCATCATTTAACTGAAAATTTCCATCATAATACAAAGCTAATTAATTTTGCATCCAAAATTGTCATTGAGAATCTTAACAGTTACTTACAGAATGCTTTTTTAATATAAGTTTGGTGAAGCTTTTTATGATTGCATTTATATCATTTCTTGGGCTCTAGAGCTAGAAGCAATCAAAGGCCATTTAGTCTAACTCTATCATTTTGTAGATGAGAAGTGAAGTGCAAAAACATTAAGTTACTTGCCCAGTTATACAGGTAGTAATAGTCAGAAGATAGATTTACACCCATCTTCTGATTGTATAGTCTATGTTCTTTTCATTGTACCTTCCACATAGTCTGTGTTCTTTCCAATCCTGTTAGATTGATTTTAAAAACAGTTAAAATCCTGTCCTATTTAGTCTGAAATAAAGTCAATAAAGAAAAAAATTAGGATGGGAGAATAGGTGTCAATATAACTATTTACACACACATGTATATATCCACAAAATGATAGGGATAAAATTGACAGTTAAAATTCTAATATTTGTTTGATGAAATTACTATTTATCAGTATGTCCTCAGTCCTATTTTTTTTGTCTGAAACTCTTGGAATGGGAAAAAAACCCTCTTTTCACCAATGCAGATCAATAACTTCTGGTTTACTTAGAGTTGCTTGGGACACTGAGAGGTTGTGTGATTTGTACATGGTCATATAACAAGAATTTGTCATATTCATGGCTTGGACTGAGGTCTTTGATTCTGTGGCCAGATCTCTGACTGTTTCACCGGGGGATCCCACTCTCAGCTTTTATATAGAATAAATAATAATCTCTTTGCACATTGCACTTAAATTTTGTGTAAAATCCTAATTGAGACATTGCCTAATCTTACTTAATGTCCCTTATATGAATACCTACATTATAGATAGGTCCTTGAATTTAGTTCCACAAAAATCTCCCAAATCAACTCTTTTGCTCCATCCCCTCACCAAAATTCCCCTTGTAGTTTATCTCATCTAAATAATGATGGTAATCCTTTAGATTTTCATAAACTTTACTGTTTTCAAAGCACTTTCAAATGTTCTGGGTTGTATTCTATACAGTAGAGGGCATTCAAGGATACATGTAGATGTCTCTATACTATATATGTCAATTGCTGGAAATAACAGCGGACTTCAGAATTGGGGTCCTGGTTATACTTATTTTTTTTACAAGATATTTCATCTGTTACATGCAAGTGGAAACCATTAGAGTCCACAATGCATTTGAATTTCCTTAAGTATATTTAATTTAATATTTTGTATTTCACATCAAAGGTCCAGGCCCAATTACCTTTTTTATATAATTAAAGAATAGAGATTTTTTTGAGATTGGCATGATTATTCTAGTATACATATAAAAAGAATTCTACTTCATGGATTTGCTAATTGTCCTCATTGGCTGTAGACATTAGATATCATTCCATTTTTGGCCAGGCTATTTTAAATTGTTATTATAAATACTATAATGAGAAAAATGATAAAGTATCAAGTATGTTTGTTGTAGATCTTTATATAAATGGGTATCTTGGTAGCTGGGTGCTCCAGTACATAGAAAGCTGGGACCTACAATCAGGAAGATCTATGTTTAAAGTCTGCTCCAGATGTGCAACTCTGGGCAAATTGCTTAGCCATTATTTACCTAAGTTTCCTCATCTGTAAAATGTGGATAATAATTGAACATATCTCCCAGGGTTGTTGTGTCAAATGAATAATGTTTGTGAAGCATTTTACAAACCTTAAAGTGTTGTATAAATGTTATTTGTTATCATTACTATATCTAGATATTGAAGAGCAAAATTAATACAGTTAAGGCAAATCATGAATAGTTATGAAAAATTGCTATGCAAAAAGATTTGTAAAATTATAAGTTACAAAAAATAAGCACTTAAGTATTAAATAGGAAGAAACTCACAAGCAAGTTTGCTCTTTGTTTAGTCATTTTAGTCATATCTGACTCTTCATAACTCCATTCAGGGTTTTTTTGTAAAGATACTGGAATATTTTGTTATTTCCTTATTCAGCTCATTCCTTCTCTACAGATGAGGAAACTGAGGCAAAGAGGGTTAAGTGATTTGCCCAGTTAGTGTCAGAGGAAGCATTTGAACTCAGGTCTAACTGACTCCAGGCCAGGTGATCACCTAGATGTCCTTATGAATATGAGCACTACGCTATTTAATTTCCAGGGAGCTCTAGTAAAGTTGCCTAATTAAGGAGAGAGGAATTTGTCCCATTTTGGATTGCTTCTAGGAAAAAATGGGTTTGGTATTTGCAGAATTCTGAGGTCAGAGTGCTTATGGAGATTATGTGTGTGAGTTTGGCTACAGAAAACTGGCTTTTTACAAAGATGTAACTTCAGGTCCCCCTTTTCCCTACAGGGAAGAAAATACAAGTCTTATCAATGTTAGTTGCAAAAGCCAAAGGGTTATTTCACCTAGTTAGAGTTAATGAGCATATCATTGTATTTTCATTTGTTTTCTGGATAATTTTCTTTTTGTACCCTTAAACATAACAAGCCTTCTGCTTTAAAGCACCATTAGATTTAAGAGTCGTATGACATTTATACTGGTTTACGTTAGCTATGCCAATAAGTACAAACATTTCTCAACCTGGGAACATTAAAAAGTTTTGTAGTTAAAAAGTATTGAATTCTTTGCACTCGCTCAGCATAAATTGAGAAATTGTGTCAGTAACTATTTTCAAGGTTTGTTTAGGCTTGTGACAGTGTTGTAATCTTTTATGATCATATTATTAGGGTGAGTCTTACAATCATTATGTAAATGAACCCAGGATGTATATCTTTTGGCAGGTTGTTACAAATCTTGGAAGATGATAAAGATCCTTTTAGCATTATTAGAAAGTTATTGAAAAATAGAGCAGTTATGAGGCCACTCGTGTTGGTTTTTTTCTCCCTTACCTCAGAAAATGGATGGCATACTTTTTTATTCCCCATTTTTAAAAACATTTTTATTTAAAGGTTTGAGTTCCAAATTCTATCCCTCCCTCCTTAACTTCCCTTCCTACTGCCTGAGATGGGAAAGCTGCCAGATATAGGTTATACATGTGCAAATATGTAAAACATTTCCATATTAGTCAGTTTGTTCAAGAAGACTCAAATAAAAGAAAAATAATGAAAGTAAATAATAGTATGCTTCAGTCTATATTAAATAAATATCAGTTCTTTCTCTGGAGGCAGAGAGTATGCTTCATCATTAGTCCTTTGGGATTGTCTTGGATTATAGTATTGCTGAGGATAGCTAAGTAATCCACAGTTGATCATCATACAATATTGCTGTTACTGTGTACTACATTCTCCTGGTTCTGTTCACTTCACTATGCATCAGTTCATGTAAGTCTTTCCCAGTTTTTTCTGAAATCACCCTGTTGGTCATTTCTTGTAGAACGATAGTATTCCATTACATTCATATGCCACAGTTTGTTTAGCTGTTCTGCAATTGATGGGCATCCCTTTGATTTTCAATTCTTAGCCACCACAAAAAGAGCTGTATAAATATTTTTGTACAAATAGGTCCTTTTTCCTTTTTTTTGGGGGGGGGATGTCTTTCAGGTGTAGACCTAGCAGTGATATTCTAGCATACTCTTGATGTTGGCTTAAACTTCTGGGCAAAATGGTAGACCCACTTTTACCCCAGAATTTCACATTTCAGAACACTTTTAGAGCCATTTCAAGTGAGAAAGAGTTGGAGGACGTTCAGGTTTACTTGTATAACTGAGGTAGTCTTGTCTTCCCCTTTTTTTTTCCTTTTAAAATTCAATTTTAGACTTGGTTTGTTTGAAAACATTATCCTGTGTAGACACACTAATGGTAAACACATAGATCTGATGGACTTGTTTATCTGTATGGAGAGAATGAAAATTTCTTTAGTCTGACTTCCAAGGGATTTTTAAAGTTACTTGACAACTTTCTGATAGTGTACTTTATCTAATCCTAGAA